AACGGACGGACCGATAACTAGATTGAGAAGCCGGGCGCAGAGCAGTCCAGCAATATAAAAAGGACTCCCAGTAATCTTGTATTATGCTCTGATGATATCGGCAGTGTTGGCCGATGAAAGCTTAGCTTTAGCTTTTGTATTAAACAGTTTTTGTTTTAATATTATCCTGGTGCTCGGACTATTTTATTTCTATTATATGGATTTACCTAGGATTCACATTTTTGATATATATTACATGTACAGAACTGGACAACCTAGAAGGATATATTTGAATGGTCAAACTGGAGAAAGGACCCATGCTTTTTGAATTTTAGAATTCATGCTTTTTGCAAGGCAATTTCTTCAGGTTAGGATAAATACTGTCTGAGATTCCTTGTAGAGCAAACAATGAAAAACCTCACAGGTTCCATTGGGTTGCTTCTCTCCCTCACACCCAAGTATACATATATTAATTAAGTAGAATATTTTTGCACCATTCCAATAAGACAGCAGAGAACAATGCATCCATCTTGGCCACAGTGAAGACTCATTAAAATTTCAGGATTGCCATAGATGTGCAATAGACATTGGGTACAAACATTCAATGCCTGTTGAACCAAACAATGTCCACAACTTTTGAAATGATCACCTCTGGGAATTCCAATGTTTTTTTTTTCCTTTCAAAGAGCATCATTAGCTTTAAAGTACTTTGAGGCAGCTGGTATCAAGCACCAAAACTGAGGGAACAACTTGTTGTCCTAGTTGATACTGGTACTATATGGTGCTCCTTCACTGTGAACTGAAAATGCTAAGGATATTTTGCACCATTGTCTGAAAGTAAATTAAAATTCCTTCTGTTTATTTGTTTTAACAGAAAAAAGATGTATTTTTTCCATTCAAGCATTTTGCTTCTCTGTCTCATAGAGAAAACTGATATACTGGAATGATTTTAAAAGGCTTCTTTTTATTTTCATGGTTGTACATAGGTAATTAAATTATATCTCAACACTCTTATAAAAGGGTATGTATGCTACTAAATAGTTAATGACATGAATTAAGGGAAGGGATTTATTTAAATGTTAGCAGTGTAAATAATTTTGTATAGACAGATTAAGATATTTTGGTGAAGACCTTACAAAAAGTACAGACATATCTCAAATAATATGAAATTATGCTCCAGTTTTTATGTTAGCATATTATACTGGTCAATTTGCTTCAAAGGAAATATATATATATATGCCATCCATTTTCTATTATTATGCAATCTTTTTCAAAATATAAGTGAAATTTTGGCAAATAACATTTATATCCAAAAAAGTTTTATCTCATCCCCAAATCAATGTATTCTACAAAATTAATCTATAATAAATAAAACTATGCCCTTAATATTTCATTATTAGGCTGTTATTTAATACAGACCCAAAACAAGCACGGAGATTAAATAAAGTGTGGTGGATGTGAGAATACAGCTCAGACCAATAATTATTTCTTTGGAAACAGATATACATATGGAGCAGGTCTATACTTTCATAATTTCTGCTGTCCTAGATAGCCTTGCTGAAACTAATAGAAATAAGCTGCTTTTGCAAGTGGACATTACATCTGACATACACATTCACAGTTAGTTCAGCATATACACATGTATATGTACATATGTGTGTGCACATGTATACCCACAAATACATACAAATGTAGTATAGGAACAGGACTTGTTTTGTGATCTCATATAAAGACTATGTTGGAATGAAGTTTAATTTGGTTTTGTTTAAATGTCAAAATTTAAAAACTAGTGAAATTAAGAAACTTATTAAAGTAAGTACAATACTTCTATGCAAATGCTTAAAGATTAAAAAAACTAGATAGGGCTGAAATCAAGTAATACTGTCCTCTGCAAAGCAAAAGAATGTTAATATGCTTATAAAACAACAAAACAATCTGTTCATGAAGGTGGAAACCGAGCAGAATAAAAATGGAATTGTTGACCATAATGTGGCAGAGACAAATGGATCAATATTTCTTCGAAAATCTGTAACGGGGAGGTGAAGGACAATTTAAGAGCTATATTTTCAAAAGTAGATTGTATAGATATCTATCATATTCAATGTCACTTTTACCATTTGTACATTCTCTGTGACACATACTTTAAAACTACCTAAACCTCTTATTCCAGCATATCCCTAGGAAGATCAACTTAATTTTTATCTGAAAGAAATAATTTAATAGTTAACATACTGATTAATGTAGGAACACAACAAATTTAGATCCTACAGAGGGGATCTCTCTGATTTTTTAAAAATACATTTTCTTTATCCAGGAAGAAAACTCACGAATGTCTTAAAAATCTGTTTCTCAATAGAGTAAATAATATCAGAGTGATTCTAAGAAAATAATTGTTTAAATGTATTATGTTTTATGTATTTTTTTTACAGTTTAAATATTTTAAGCATACATAATTTGCCATTTCATATTGTTGAATAATCTATCAAATATTTAAATGGATCATTAAAAAAATTCTTAACTAGCACAGAGGCTAAGTAAATAGCCAAGTCAACAAACAAGTTATAATGACAAATTTATAAGTAAAAACAAAGGTTGCATACATTTCTCTCAAAGATTAGATGAAAATAAATGCAAGATTACAACATGTTTTCCATAACATTTTTGGGTATATATGTTCCTTTTTAAATGATCAAACTACTGTTATATAAACAACATTAGACATTCGAAACACAAAATTAATACTGAAAAATAAAGTTATTAAAAATAAATTAGTAGATCTGTCTCTTAGAATAGGCAATGCTGCCAAACCCATATCAATCTGAAAAGCCTAAGTTAAAATACTGCAATCATTTATAATTTTCATAAGGGAAAATGTTTCCAATAATTATGCATATTTTCTTAGACAGGTTTTTGTTTAGAAACATTAATTTAAAAACTATATATTTGCATGATATATGTGCAATATACAAAACATTAAATGTGATGTATTTGGTACAACAATGTGGAAACTTTCCAAACAAAAAATCTTAGTCAAATGTGTATAACTGCCTTGTAAATCACTGCAGTTTTGAAAAAGTAAATATTAAAATGTTTTGCCCATATGTGTGCTATATGATACAGTATACAGCTGTATATAACACACTCTGTATTTAATACAGCTGTATTAAACATAACTTTGCATTTCTGTGTCATAAAGTAAGATTTTAAATAAACAATTAAAAGAACTAGTTTCTTTCTCTTTGTTATAAGCCTGTGTATATCTTTTTAAATTATATTTTAAAAATATGGCAGTAATAACAATGGATTAAAATGCAGCTCTTTTTATATCCTTTTCTATATTTTCCTAATCGTCTATATTAAAGTCACTTATTAGCTTTTACAGTGACTGCATTGAGTTTTGAGTTGAAATAGAATTTCATATAATCTTATATAATCTGTAGCCTCATTATTTAACTGGGAAGAAGTTATTTTATAACAAATGATTTTTGGTAACCTGATTGCAAATCTGAAAGCTGAATCACTTGGCATAGATTCAATTATAGACTGCAGTGTCACTTAAGTTTCAAGTTTTATGTGACAAAATTTAGGCACTTCTGCAAAGATTTCTTTAAAAAATATTCTCTCTTTGTAAAATAACATAGTCAAGATTTTTGTTAGGGGTATGAAAATCATACTGTGCAAAAGGTTTGGTTTAATTCTAGAATGTCGTGATTCAATATAACTTCTCCATACATATCCCAAAGCAGCTTGTGTGCGTTGCTGCAATTTGTGCTTTACCTTAGATCAGGGCTGAGGAACTATGGCCCTTTTATGACTTGTGGACTTCAATTCCCAGAATTCCTGAGCCACCCATGCTGGCTCAAGAATTCTGGGAGTTGAAGTCCACAAATCATAAGGGGGCCACAGTTCCCCACTTCTTTAGGTATTCTGTTTCAGCTTCATCCAATTGACTGTGCCTCAACCTAGGTTTCCTATGACTCCCTGGATTCCCCAACCACCCATCTACCTCACAGCATGACCATTGCCTATGCTGATTGCATATGCTGGAAGGAGAAATCCTACTTATTCGAAGGACACCAAGCTAGGAAAACTACTAGTGGTGATTCCACTACTCCATCACTTATTTTGTCACCAAACAATCATACAGTGCAACTAGTGCAGGGGTAGGCAACCCAAAACACTCAAAGAGCCACTTGGACCCGTTTCCCACCAAAAACAAAACACCGGGAACCGCAAAACCCTTTTGATATCTAAAATGAAGATAACACTGCATATATCCTTTTTTACCTTTATTATAGTAAAAATATGACTCTTGGGAATATCCATACTATTAAAACAATGATCACCAAGAGAATGCTTTAAGAGAATAAAATTACATACACACACAGGTAAAAAAAGGATATATGCAGTGTTATCTTCATTTTAGATGTCAAAAGGGTCTCTGTCTCTCTCCCTCTCTATCTGCCCTTGGTCTGCCACTCCTCTTCCCCCACTCTCTTTCTTTCTCTCTCTCTTTCCCCCCCCTCTCTCCCCCTCCCCCCTCTCTCTCTCTCTCTTTCTCCCCCCCCTCCTATCTGCTGCTCACCTGGCAAGCTTCAAGCTGTTGTCCAACAAGCTCAGGGGTAAGCAACCTCGTCTCTTTTATGACTCATGGACTTCAACTCCCAGAATTCCTGAGTCAGCCTAGCTGGGCTAGCTAGCTCTCTCCTGCCCTTCCTGCTTCCTGCAGAGACGCAGCAAAGGGAGGAGCTCTGCCCAGTAAGCTTTTCAGCTCCTCGGAGAACATTGTGAGTGCACTCTGTTTTACACACACACACACACGCACACAAAAACACAAAGAGAGAGAGAGAGAGAGAGAGAGAGAGAAGCAGGAAAGTGTAATTGCCTTTCTCTGTCTCTGTCTCTCTCTGCAAAGGCAGAGGAAGCTGGAAGCCACAGGGGAAGGCTCAAAGAGCCGCATGCGGCTCCGGAGCCGCAGGTTGCCGACCTGTGAACTAGTGGCACTGATATAGCCAAAGTAATTTTTTTTTTAATTCCCTTGACCTACATCTCTGGAACCAGATTCTCCTTTGCAGCATTACAAAGTACTTTTAAAAGTCCAGTTTCAAAAAAATTTCTCTGGGCAATCTGGGGTGCAGGTAGGTCAGTTGAAGAAACATGCAACCAAAGCAACAGCTCTCATGGGAAACTATTCATGCAGTTAGATCTTGGATTTAGTGGCCAATGTAAATCAGTTATTGCTAACATTGAAAGAGTCGTAAAACCGTGAACCCTGCGATATATGAATGGGACGACTTACATTCACTATTTTATGGTGATAAGACAATATTCCTAAGAAGTAAACAGTGTTATATAAAACTTTGAAAAGTAAAATATTACCCTTGTATGTCTTGAACCATCACAGCTGGCATCAGGTAGTTAACTAGATTAGTTTTGAATATACTAAGCATATCATCTTAATATTCATATATGATATAGCAGCACTAGCTCTTAAGTGTGTTTTGTCCAGATGAATAAACTCTTTATTCAGCATGCAGTTTGTGGCAATTCTGTTAAGGAAGAGACAGGGTTGTATGTACAATAACAATGCTTTGCTGTTCTCAACAAGGCCTCTTGACATTCCATTCCATTCCTGTTCACTATTTCAGGATTATCTGTTAGAAGAGAAGAAAACACGGATGAGTTTCAATGCAATATTTAATTGGAATATTGGATAATGAATTCTATTGGAACACTTAATTCTTTCAAACGCTACTTTTCTCCCTGTTATAGTTTAAATTTAAAAGTTCCATCACAGGGAAAGCACATAGAAGTGCATTCATTTAGGATTTTTACAAGTTAAAATATATATTGCATGCAAATTTTTAACAACAGTAATGTTAATTAATTTTCAAACAGCATCAGAGACCAAATCATGGCTATTTAATCTCATGTTATATGCTAAATGTTGTTTGGAAATAAGTTACACATTCAAAAACAAAGCACCTGATTGGGATTTTATTTCAAAATTATAACTATTTTTTTCTTGGATGTTGATTGGACTGAAAAGGCTGGTTTTTTTTCTGACAAGTTACAAATTATTAACCTCAATATACGTAGCAGCAGACTGATATAACTTTTAATAATTTTTATAACATGATCTTTTAATGACTTTTTGGGATTGTTTTCAGATTGTTTTATTGCTTTTTTTAAAAAAAAAAATCTGTAGTCTGAAGCTTCATATTAAAATTCTTGTTAGAATGAAATTTATGTGTTCACATACACACTATAAAAACAGAATTTGGAATAACCCAGGACAGTCAATCTATCAGGCTTTAATCATACTTTATAAAATTGGATCAACACATTATCCTAGGAAATGATACAATTTAATACTAAAAATAAATATGTGATTTTTTTTCTGGGATGTGGCTTTAACTGTTTGCATGATCAATATGTGAATGCATGTTTGTGCATATATGGTGTATGTGTGCAATATAAAGACAAATAATTTACTAACACATGAAAGTACTGGTTGAATGTTTTGCTTCATTATTGGCCCGCAATAAACCTAGCTATTGTAATTTATAAACTATAATTTATGACTTACAATAGTGTGTGAATCTTTGCTAGGTAGACTATTTTACAATAAACAAATAAAGTTGTGTGAAAAAAATTAAGTACCCATCATCAAGTGTCCTTGCAGAATTTGTCTGGCTCAGAAATATTCTTATATAATGGAAAATATTGAAGCTGGAAAGTAGCTGGATAATACAGTAAGACAACACTCTGGAATAACCATTAAGTGCTTGCAGGAAAAACAGATAAAGGTTTGGAAATAATCTTCTCAGTCCTCTGTCTTGAATATTATTGAGAAATTGTAGGGTGATCTCAAACATATAATATATGCAAGGACACCTTGGAATATTTCTAAAGTAGAAAAGTTCTGTAAGAATGAATGGGGAAATATTCCAAAAGAACAGAAAGATTCTTGGCTTCTGGTGAAGATATCGTCAGTTGGCCATCTTCACCAGGCATTCCTTTAGTTCAGGGGTCCCCAACCCCCAGTCCATGGACAGGTATTGGTCCGCGGCATGCCAGCAACTGGTTCTCACAAACAAGCAAAGCCCCATCTGTGGGATGCAGGCATTCTCTGATCTGCGGAAAATCATTTCTCCATGGAACCAGTCCCTGGTGCCCAAAAGATTGGGGACCTCTGCTTTAGTTTTTGTGACTCTCCTAGGTTAAGGAGAATCCTAGAATCATTCCACATGATCCTCCATACAGCATCGATCTGCAAGCAGCTTCAGGAGGTGTGCTTTGGAGTGAGCTGGTGAGCAGCAACTGGGGGGGGGGGAATTAGGGTTAGGGTTATGTTGTTGAAAAAGCAGCTGTTTTGGAATTTATTTTTCAAATGGACAATAAGTTGTGCTTTTCATTTCTTAATCACTTTCAAGGACTATTAATCTTTAATAAGCTAACAGAGGCTCTCTTTAGCCACAGCTTGTTATTCCTTTTTGAAGATCTTTATTGTTAAAAAACAAAGAAGAAGGATGCTGAAGGCAAGCTAAAATAAGGAAGCATGGAGTGTTTTTTTTTAAACTTTGATGGAGAAATATAAGAGTAGAAAGTTGTGGTTTTAGTTTATTACTTTTAAGTAATTTGTAGCTTGGTCTGCTTAACTGTGCGGGGCTAAAACGCTCTGATTTTTCTGAATCCCGATTGGCCAGTAATTAAGTAACCTATAAAAAATTTACTCTTTGACCAAAGAGGGAGTTAAGAAGATGGAGGAGCAAATTATTAGAGATGTATTTGAAATTTTCTTAAATAGATTTATAGACCAGCTATGTTCCAAGGAAATTAAAAAAACCTACTTAAATTACTTCAGAGATGCAATTATGTGTAGGAAGCTACCAAACCATTGAGGCAATTTCACAAGTAGCTGACAATGCAAAAGACTCAATTACAATCTTGGAATATAATCCTGACACCAATCTTTATTATGATGGTTTAAATATAAACCTCCCAACACAATTGAAACAAGAGTTCCAAGAACATCTGCAACTTTCAAGAGGATAAGTTTAGGACTTTTTCTTCATGGATACTAACAAGGTTGAGAAATCCTTGAGAAAAAGTTGATCCTTGGCTGCAGAAGTTGATAGAATTAGCAGAGACAGCTAAACCAACTGCTTTGATTAAAGAAAAACACATAACTACTTTTGTTTCTACTTGGAAACCGCTTCTGGACTTTGTGCTGGAGGTGAGAAGGTTTGTTGTTATAGAAATGGCTAGTTTATACTACTATGTAAAAGTAAAAAGTTGAGGTTTGATGTTATTATCTTATGCTACTGCACCAAAAGGAGTTAGAAGTCAACACCTTTTCTTTCTTTTTCCCCTTTTTTCTACACTTTCCCCTTCCCTTTCCCCTCCCCTATTTTTCCCTACTTTTTTCTATTTTTGTATTTTATATTATAAACTAATAAAAAGAAGAGAAATCCTTGAGAAAAAGAGAATTTATAATTACTTGATAGGCATTCCAGAGAAGAAAAAGATTTTATTCTATGAAGATAAGCGGGAAGGAGTGACTTAAAATTAATGAGTTGATTGGAATTAGGATGGATTTTTATCAGTCTATGTAAGTTTTATATTATATAAAATGCTTAAGTAATTCCTAAAGCTTGTAAAATTTTATTGAAAGTGTACTTGAAAGTATTTATATCTATAACAGAAAGTTTAAAAAAAGATGTATTAGCTTAAAATAAAGTTTAGTGTCAAAATGGATGTATACAAGAAGAAAACGTTTATTCTATGAGAATAACTTGGATTTAAATTTAATGAGGTAATTGGACTTGGATTTTTATTGGTCTGATCTGTGTAATTGAAACAAAGCTTTAATGCAGCTTGTGTTTTGTTTCTGTTTATAAAATGAGTTTGAAAATGGTTCTTTTCTTTCATATGTAATTTTTGAGTATTTTTTAAAGCTTGTAAAATATTACTGAAAATGAATGTTAAAGTCTGTATATTAAGAGGAAATTAAAAAAGATGTATTAAAACATTGATTTTAGAAATGTTTTTAAAGAAAAGTTTAGTGTTTTAAAATGGATGAAAAGTGTTTTTTTATTTTTAAGGTTAAAGAATCTGAAAAAATATAGTAAATTTTGTTAATATAAATGATAATAATTTATAAAGTTTATAAAGACTATTAAGTGCAAACAGAAATATATAATTTCCACAACAAGGAAGAAAAAGCAAAGATGATTAAACTGATTGCTCTATTCAAAGAAGAGAATATATTTAATTATGTTTTTTATTATGAAATCGCTTCTGGATTTTGTGCTTGCAATAAAAAAATGAAACTTTGATTTTGATGATTAGATAGATTTGTTGTTATAGAAGTGGCTGGTATATATTAATGTGTAAAAGTAAAAAAATTGAAGCTGTAATGTTATTATCTTCTACTGAGCTAAAAAGAGTCAGAAGTCAACAACTTTTTTTCTTTTCCCTTGCATTTTCTTTTCCCCTCCATTTTTCCTTCTCCAAGTTTCCCATTATTTTTATTTTCCTTTGTATTTTATATTTTGATAAACTAAAAAAATGAAAAAAAAAAAGAATAGAAAGGTTCTTACTGGCTACAGAAACATTTGGAAACTGTTATTGCTGCCAAAGGAGATGCCATAGTGTACCAGCTAAAAGGGTGTCCAAATGTCTGTGTATACTATATTAAATCTTTTCCTATTCTAACTCTGTAAATAATTGCATATAAGTAATAAATTTGCATTCAAATTTGCAGAACTATGTCATTTTAAGAGCCATGGTGGTGCAATGATTACAATACAGTACTGCAGGCTAATTCTGCTGACTGCCAACTACCAGCAGTTTGAGTCACACCAACTCAAGGTTGACTCAGCTTTCCATCCTTCTGAGGCTGGTAAAATGAGGGCCCAGATTGTTGGGGGCAATGTGGGGATGCTGTAAACTGCTTAAAGTGGGCTATAAAGCACTATGAAGCATTATATAAGTCTAAGTGCTATTGCCATTGCTACCGTATATTCCGGCGTATAAGACGACTTTTGAGAGCGATGAAACAGCCTCCGAACTCGGGGGTCGTCTTATACGCCGAGTCATAACGTTTATTTATTTATTTATTATTTCCGGCGTATAAGATGACGTTCTAGGCATGCGACTCGGTGTTGATCATCTTATATGCTGGAAATTACGTCATTTCCGGCGTATAAGATGATCGACACCGAGTCGCATGCCTAGAAAGTCATCTTATACGCCGGAAATAACGTTATAAACTACGTTTATTTCCGGCATATAAGATGACTTTCTAGGCATGCGACTTGGTGTCGATCATCTTATATGCCGGAAATGACGTTATTTCCGGCGTATAAGATGATCGACACCGAGTCGCATGCCTAGAAAGTCATCTTATACGCCGGAAATGACGTCATTTCCGGCGTATAAGATGATCGACGCCGAGTCGCATGCCTAGAAAGTCATCTTATATGCGACTCGGCGTCGATCGTCTTGCGACCCGGCGTTGAACTCGGGGGTCGTCTTATATGCCGGGTCGCCTAATACGCCGGCATATACGGTAAATGCTATTTTTAACTTAATATGTAGAGGTTGTGTCAAATTTCATTCATCAAAACATACAATTTGACCATAGGAA